TATATATATATATAAATTCATAAATTTCCTATGCTCATTTAATGAACTAATGTTTAAAATTTAGTACAAAATGTATGATAGAATCTCTATGCATTTACATCTCTGTTTTATATTAAATGATATACATATATATAAATACATGAATGCTTTTGATTGCAGTTACGATAGAATCACTGAAGTTGCTGTGTAACTTATTATTTAATAGTGTAAAAGTGCAACAGTCGCAAGTATTAATCTCTTCTTTACCTTATCTCATCGATCGAATTAAAAATTATACGACACACGATCCCTATGATGTCAAATTATTTGACATGAGAATATTGTTTTTACTCACTGCACTAAATACATCTACAAGAGACATAATCAAAACTGATTTATATGGTGATGTATATCTTATTAAAATAATAGAGGAATTTGCAGCTAAAAATCAAAATAGCGAGGTAACTGTAAATAAGGTAAAAAGATTCATTTAAATATAATTTATTGATATTTTACATATATTTTATATCAATTAAAAAATTCAAATTTTCTCGTTACTTTTAGACAGAAGAGATAACAATAGTCTGTGAAGTTTTAAAAGTTCTATTTAATTTATATATACATTCCGATGATATCGCAGTTGAGGATCAAGAAAAATATAAGAATTTGGTGTTAATTTTGTATAAGTTGTTAACTCTTAAATATTCAGTGCAACAAAATGACCTTGAAAGGTAAAATAATAACAATTTGTGATATCTTATTATATAACTTTTATATTAAAAGAAAATTAGTTTATTATCTCTTTTTTTCAGCCATATCGTCAATTTGTTGACTGTGATACCATTTAGCTGTTATACATCAATTATACAAGCTGTTAATAGCAAAGATTGCAAAGATGTATACCAAAACATGAATATGAGCGCTATATGCGTTTTACTTAGATTTTTAGATAAAAGATTAGAATGTAAAACACATTTACTAGAAAATTTCTCTCCAATAATTACTGCATTGGTTAGACTCGTCAAATCAGAGAGGCTTGTTCGCAAATACGTAAGACTGCAGGTAAAATCTTGTAATAAAATTTGAAATAGTTATTTTTATAATAAAATTTTTTTTTTTTAATCTACTCTCACTTAGTAAAGAAAAAAAATTTAATAAATGATTTTTTTTAATTGCCCAAAATAATAAATAATCTCATGAATAAATTTTGTAGATTTTACCTCCATTAAAGGATGTGATGAATCGCCCTGAAGAAGGGACGACATTAAGGGCTAAGTTATGCAAGTTACTAACATCACCTATCACAGAATTACGTGATCTAGTTGCAGAACTTTTATTTGTTCTTTGTAAAGAAAATGGTATTTATCTGCCGTATTAAAATATTTCAAGTGATATAATTTTATTTAGTACTAATAATGACATTGTCAATATTATTTATAGTTAGCCGTATGGTGAAATATACAGGATATGGAAATGCGGCTGGAATGTTTGCCAATAAAGGATTATTAGGGCGTAGCCAAGCGGAAACGGCTTATTCTTCTGAATCGGAAGATAGCGAAACGGAAGAATATCAAAAATATAAAGAACGGTAAGCAATCGACGAGAAATAGTCACATTAAGACGAAACGAAAAACTTTATAAATAAATGGCTCTTTTATTTTAAGAATAAACCCAGTAACTGGATGTTTCGAGCATTCCAAACCAAATCCGCTTGAAGGCATGACAGAGGAACAAAAGGAATACGAAGCTTTAAAATTAGTAAATCTGGTTGATAAATTAACAAAGTGAGTAGTGTATATTGAGATTTTATTTATTCGTCACAGATCAAAGATATGCGTAAAGATATACAATCATATCGAGATCTAATGCTAAACAAAAGCTGTTTTCATATATTTATAACATCATTATGTAAACCAGCAATATATCAGCTGCAAACGCCATAATGATAATAGTTTTCTATATATATAAAAAAATATATATCAAGATAACATCGTTGCTTAGGGAAGGAGTCGTGCGTCCTTGCCGCATTGGCGATGATGGGAAACCAGAACCGATAGAACACGTTCTTGAGTTGCAGAACGAATTACCAAAACAACAGTATGGCAGAAAGGACTCAGACTCCGAATAAATGTTATATATCTCCAAAATAGAGGACAATCTGTATATGTATAGGTGTATCTGTCCGAATAAAGATATTCAAGTCGAAAATTTGTTGTGTTCTGTCGTTAGGCCCGCACTAAATTAGTCGCTTCTATTAGATAAATATCAGTAACACAATTGCTTACGTAAAATATATGATTATGAATATGCGAATATCGTATAAAAAAACGTCGTTTTCTCATACATGAAATTGCGTCCGAGGTGATTACAGTGAATAAAAAGAATTTGATATTTAGTTGATTACTTTATTGAAAAAGAGAACAAAGAACAACATTACAAATTAAACAATTGGCAGGAAATAAAAAATATATAACAGTTTCCAAAATCACATGAAATATTTAAACATTACAATTTTGGTAAAATGTGTTATGTGCTTTGTGAGCATCACAATATATTATTATTGCATTGCAGCCTATGCGCAGACAAGAATGTATACTTCTACACGTTTCAAATAACTGCATAGTGATATCATTTGAGAATATCTTAGTATAGGACAGTACATATGAATTGACAGGTAATGGCAAATTGAGTTGATATGATGAAGCAATGTACGATCAACAAAGAACATTTATTTTCTTTTTTAAGGCTAAATTTGTCCATCCTATAATAAAATATTTTCAATATAATACATTTGACAAATATATAAGTAGCAAATGTTCCGTATCTTTAATTATGTAATACATTATGTAGATTAAAATATTTTTTTTTCTTTTTTTTGTAAAAGTGTATATAGATGTGTATACGTATAATACCATAAATTTGAATATTTTATATAAAAATGAAACTAAAATTTGGTTTCAAGATAGAAAAAAGCTGATTTGCGGTAAATAAAAAGAAAAAAAAAATAATAGAAGAGAGTTAGATCTGTGTTACAGATATTTCGGGGACTAGTCTTGACAAACTTTGGAAGATAAAAAATCGTAAAACTCGTAAACTAAGAGATATATATAGATACATATTTGAATACTTCGAAATTCAAGTAGTCCGACAATGGGGGGTGGGTATGTTTAATAAAGGCTGAGTAGTCTCAAAGGGAACTGATTTGTGTGTACACAGTTGATCTCTGGACGTGTATAACTCTAAATAATACGTTACATTAGATGACCATGCTCCTTGGCATCCCATTAGCATATAAAAAATATATTGGTATACACGCGCTTTCCATATTGCATTACAATTTACCTTTTTTTCGTCAGTTGTACTATTCTTATACAGTTTACATTTTGAAGTGTAAGTGATGTCGGAACATTTAAGATCTTTTCTTTTTTTTTTCCCTCCCCAGAAATACCTCGTTCTACGCAAAATACCAATGGAGGTCTCAGGAAAACATGGTTTACACACAGTAATCCGCATTATCGTTTCGTGACAGCTGTTACAACATTTGTATGTGTACAACATAGGTTGAATCGTTAGAAAGTTCATTTCAGATATACATAGTACATGTTATTTAGTATGTTAATTAGATAGATTTGAGAGAAACGACACTAGAAACTAATTTTGCATAGAGAAATGTGATGGAGCCAGGCTTTAATTTTTGGTAAAGCACAATTGCTCAATGTAGACGCTTATTTTCGATTACGCAATAAGCTGCAAATGAGCTATAAGAAGCTTTAAGAATCAAATGTTATTTTACCATAATAAGTTTCTCTCAAGTCAGCCTCGCGATCACTACTTAAAAGTAAGTAGAAATACGGAGATCACCGAACGGATATATTCGAGGGTATGCTACTCGACAAGTTGACGCTTTTCAGCATACCGGATTGGAATGCAACTGTATGTAACGCGGTTTTAGTGGTCAATTTGATATGTAAACAAAGTACCTCCAAAAAGGAACGTGTGGTAATATCCAAAAATAAATATTACACGTGTATAGGGCAGATGGCGAAAGCGTTTTCTTTACCCTTTCTCTCAGCCTGTTAAGTATTACATCGAGTAAACTAATGCAAAATAAATAAAGCTAGTGCTGTTGAGGAATGAAACCAAGTAACAGTATATACGCCATTAACATGCCTTTCGCGTTACTTACTTTCTAAAGATAGAATATATATATATATTAAATATTTGTACTTTAACTGACTAAGCAAGGATTTAATCGTAATTTTTTGTCTTCTTACTCTAAGAACTTCGACACTCGCGCGCGACGCAACTTAAAAAGACGAATAAAATAAACTTATAAGGAATAAAACAAATTGTAAGCAATAATATACGTGTTATATAAATACTCTGATTAGTCTGTTTTGGCACTAAAGAATTTAATTTTTCTATCTCATACGAAGGTGACAGATAAAATGATCGATTTGGAATGTAGTTAAATCGTTAAAGTAGAATCAACATCAATACTCGTTATGAACTAATCGCTTTTTTCTGCCATTTCCTACGAGGTAATATGACAAGCTGTATAGAATTCCTTGTCATCTCACCTCAGATTGAGTATTTGAAATAAAAGAAAAAAAATGTTAGCAACAAAAATATAAAAATTTAAGCAATGACAATAAACGTGTGTATGTGTGTATCTGAAAAGAACACAATTAAAATGAAATGAAGTGTATAATAGAAACCGGTCAATAACGTTTCTTATCTTTTCGAATAAGATATAAACTGTAGCGAGAAATTTATAAAACCAATTAAACAAAACAATATATAAATAATATAAATACACATTTGAAAACAATTCCGTTTCCCCGGATAGCCCGAATAAAAACGTAATAGATCAAAATATGTATAGCAAGCTCGTACCACGTATTCCCCGGCAATAACTACCGCGGAAAAATGATCTAACGTATCCAAATAAGTACGCTATAATAGCGTCAAAAACAGCCGATCGAACACATAATGCTTGCATAAAGGTAAAAATTAATTATATGTATATATATATAAGACAATGTATACGAGCGAGTAAGGAATAAAAATATTATTACAAAAATAACGCGGAACGCTTACACATAATGAGCTATGGCTTCTTTTTCTTTCCCCTTTCCTTTTTGATCATAGATTGTTGCCCCTCTTTTCCTCTTGTAAAAATTCAACTTAAATTATGCTGAAGGCATGAAAAAGTAAAAATTAATCACGGACTTTTAGTGTATAAGCCATGTCGAGTAAAATAATATGGAGCTGTTAATTCGAAGCGCAATTCGTAAGATAACTCTTTTCGTGTTACGCTTTTCTCCATTTATAACCAACTATATAGTGTTAATTGGCCATGCCCTAATCAATATAGCGAAGTCATACTCTTTTTTTTTCTTTAGGATTCTAGGAAGACTATGATTAACCGTAGGCTAGAATTCAGTTTATGTCGTGTGTCATGTTAGTCCTATTATTTATATAATTGTAGCTGTCTCGTTAATGCTTGTGAACATTCGCAATAATTCTTATTGTATAATATATGCGACTCTTTTCTTTTTTTCTTCTTCCTCTTTTGAAAATCAGGAACATATTTTTTCGTGTGATATATAGCAACGATTCCTCATCGAATACACGACATATTTTACGATTGACAAATATTGTGTCGATTCACGCAAATCGTACGCGAAATTAGAAACAGAGCAGCCCGAGGCGCTCGTAAATGTCTTCCTCGTGTTGCCAAGTATTGTAAAACATAGCTTGTAAAAGTTTCGAGAGCAATTTTGTATCGGGAAACAAACGTAATCGCGCATTAACTCTGATTTACAAATAAAACAGGTGACAATTCTACAATTATCAGAAGGAAATGGAAAATTATAATTTTAACTCCACGGCGAACGCAAAATCGAAAGATCAAATAATTCTTTGCTTGAAATTATGTCGGAGAATCTGTGGCACCTAAAAGGCCTTGGAAGTTGTATAGCAATAAAAATAGTACTGCTAAAGAGTAATACACACAGAACCTATCCCATACTCGAAATACGATCTTCGATTACACTGCCAGTTGTAAAACTGTTTAGTGTGGATAGTTATGAGAGCTTTTAATATTAGTTTAACAATGTAAGCAAAGTTTATCTATTACGTACAGAGTGACTATATAATTCTATACATATTAGGATAATAAGACTTTTGAGATTGTAAAAATCATCAAAAAATCTATCACAATTACCATTTACGTAACAAGTAATTCTCGTTCCTTTTTTTTATATATTATTGTTGTAATTTAAACATCAAGGCAAATAAGGGGTGAATTTCAACAGTGGCCTAAATTAGCCAAGTAGTCTTCCACAGAGATAAAAATATGTAAAGAGTAAATCTATACTAAAATATTCAAGTATATATAAGGTGAGCGTAATATAATAATTTTGTGAGGTAAAAGACCCTCTCGTTAATGGTCATCCATTCGTTACACTATGAGTTTTTTTTTTTAAATATGACTGGCAAAAATTTTGCAACATGTTCTCTCTTTATTTTGAATATTTTCTTCTTTTTATATTTAACGCGTATCATTAGAGACGATTGATGGTCCGCTCTGCATCTGGCGTTATTGTGCTTGTAAAAACACCTTGCAGGCGGCACCAACGGTATCTCACATTGATACACTTCTAATCAATATTTACCTAGCAACAACATCAGAGACTCTTTAAGGACACAACTTATCCTGACGATACTATTATCACAGGCATTATTTATATAACTCTGCTAACCATGACTATTAAATATTTCAGAATTAGTTTTTCTTTTCTTTTTTCTTTTTATATATAAAATTAAAACTTCTAACGTTACACGAGAGATGAGTACGACTGATTAGCTTAGGTGTATGTATGTAGGCTTCGTGCAATTTACTACAAATGCCGATGTTATGCGCGAACTTTAAAATAGCCTCCTAGTACTGCCCTTTTTTGTTTCTCGTTTGTCTAAATTTTTATCATTTGCTTCACACGAGTAATGAAACCAGACATTATCGATATAATTTCCTGTATGCAAACGAATTTGATAAAGCTAGTCAAGTATAAATATATATATATATGTATGTATATATATATAATTATATGTATATATGGATGTGCTACCTAGCATTTGGTATGGCAAGATAGTATTTATAATTAAACGTTATTGTAGATAATGTAAGGTAACACAGTGTAGCAATCTGCCAAATATCCGATGTATATGTTGTATACACATTGCATTTTAGTTCAATCAAATCTTAAGGCTGATCATGTAAACAACCCTAAAAAATATGTGTATTTCTATATATGTATGTGTCTTATGTGGTTTTTTCTTTTTCATGTATTATGTTAATATATACATAAATAGAGGTTGTTTAGCAAACTGTACGTTATTTCCTTTTTTTTTTACATAGATAAAGTATCGTCCCTATATGATATACCGGTGGTATATATTATGTACTTACGAATCTTATATAATATATTACACAAAATCGTTCCCCTGCATTGTAAAAAATGCGCGGGAACGATTTCTGTAATTTTATAACAAATACATTTACATGGTATGGATACATTATTCACTAGCACCACGAACCAATAATTCACACACGCATATACGTCGTATTCATATGATGGACCATAATAAAGCATCCTGAGTAAATATTGTAACCATTATGTGTCTCGTCTAATTTTAACAATGCACAAATGGGATCTACTCGTTTGTCTCGTAAGTGTAAATAATTATTTCATTTTTTTTTAATACGCTCAAAGTATCTTTTCTGTAGGACACTTTTTATATAAGATATTAAATGTTTGATTTTCAACATACCATAATCTATTCCTTGCACATTAACGTTGTTTTTATATTATGTTCTCAACTATCATTTTCAAACGCGCAGAAAGAAATCAGGAACATAGCTCTTATTAAGCTTCGTGCCTGCTGCAGTGAGGAGTATTGTTTCATTCTCTTCTTTAGAAATACGATATGATAAGAGCAGGAAGTACTACCAACTACCTCGCAGCATGCAACGTTCTTTTTTTTCCTTTTTTCTGTTAAGCGAAAAATTTTGATCCTTTCATCGTGAAATTTATCCTGCTGAGTTTATTAGTTACTTAGAAGCTCTTAAAGGAAAACTTTTTAAACGTAATCTGTGCATTTATATGCATCTCTCTTGAAGCATCAGTTAGGACTAAGAAGACAAACATCCTTGATTAATAAAAAATCAGGACGAGAACGTCTTATTCCGAGCACGAATCGAAACCAGTGTATAGAAAGTGCTCGTCGGAGACTAGAATAATTTGATTTATAAACATACTTAAAATACTGACATGTCAAAAATGATGTACAACAACCAATTTTGACGGAAGGCCATTATAAATTGCTTTCTCTACTACAAGCGATCCAACTCGTTGGTTGGTTGCTTATTGGTTGATATAGCTAACTGCTTCTCTCTTTATAACTGGTTCCACTTAGTTAATTTAATTTACTTTGGCAGTTTACCAAAATGCAAATTGCTAAGTTACTATTATACTGTTTGGTCGGAGACGTACATTACCTTTCTGCTTTTTTTTTTGTTTTCAACATTGTTACTTTCATAAAACGGGGACGCATTATATTTTTACAACTATTAAAGCTGCATGCTGCACTTGTTTCTATTGCTTCGATAGGCCCAATATTCGAACGTAATGCCTTGGGCATGCCTTTTCCATCTTTCGTTGAGAGGAGTTTCCAAAGAAGTTTCCATTTGCAGAAGGAAGTTATAACATACTTACTCATCTGATGCCACTTCACAATATATAAAGAGTGTTTAATACAAGGACATGGTGGTTGTTTTTGGCCAGTGTTACAATATACCCTTCCGAAGTTATTTTCAATCCACAACATCGAGACACCTATAAAATATAATATTACAACATTTAAAAGCACTATCATTAATTTTAAAATTCATTATATTTATAAATATTAGTAAAAATTGTTTTAGCAAAATAAAACAAGTATATTTTATAAAATACAAATATTAAATACTTAAATTTTATTTTAGACTAATCACCAGTGTACAACAGTTTATTACTACTGGTAATTAAAGTAACATAATATTAATGTGTCGAATAAAAAATTGATAATTGATGGATCGATTCTAATCGCCATCCCATGTATACATTTCGGTTTTTAAAAGTGACTGGAAAATGGTAATCCATTTCCGGAATTCATATTTCATTTATATTTATAGTATATAAAAAAATATATGTATTCAAGATTAATATATGAAAGATATAATACTCTACCTTCACATATGGACATTCAAATTCTGATATTAAAGAGCCCGCTCTGGAGAAGACAGCTACATGGAAACGATTACCATGTGAATCCCCAATTAATACATCTCCTGCATCACTAATATCAATCCCGTTCGGGAAGTTTGTTACATTCTCACAGCCAATGCGACGCAGGAATTTACCCTCTTCGTTGAACACCACAACACAATGTCCTTTAAAGTCGCAAACAAAATATTCTTTGCCTAAAAATGTATATACAATTTGATTATTAATATTATAAATTGCAGTTTGTCGTTATTGAGCGTAATTAATTATATTAATTATAATTTCATTGTAAATATTAAGAATGATAAAGTATGCTTACCACTGATAGCAATATCACTTGGTTCTCTCATATAGTCACTACAATCAAACCACCTCAAAAGATCTCCTGTATCACTGATTACGAACACAGTTGGCGACACACTGTCAACAGCCACAATATGACCTTGACTGGTAACAGCTAGGCCAGCTACGATATCGATGTAACGAATAGCGATCTTCTTTATAAAGTGGCCATTCTTTGTAAATATCTGCATTCGAGATCGTTCATTTCCACGATCGCATACAACAAATTTGCCATTATTTCTCATAACGGCTACTTTCCTAGGATACCATAATTGTCCCTCTTCTTTACCAGGAACACCAAATTGAAATTTGAAGGTACCAGTCTTATCAAAAATCTAGAATTAACATACCCACAAAATTTATATTTCGTTTATACTTTATGTATAATTTTTTAAAATAATGAAATACTTATTTTTGACGTGTATCATTATGAAGTATATACCTGAATTCTATGATTATTTGTGTCTGCAACGATAATATCCTCATCAGTCCCCAGACAAAATCCATGAGGCGAATTAAATTGCCCTTTACTGGGACCTAATTGTCCAAATTTGCTTCGGATATGCATAGGCGTTAATTTTGTATTCTGGGTTCTTGGATGAGCAGGATAATTCCCTGTTCCTGATCCGGTTACATGATTGGCAACAGTATTTCCTACTACAGGCATATTATGCATAGAATCACCTATTAAGTCATCTAAAAATAAAACATCAATATTGGTAAACATATACAGTAACTAGTATACAGTATATCTAATATTGAGAAAAACTTTTCCCTCTTAAATCTTTTGTTAAGATATAATTACTATGCAAAATGTATTGTACAAGATATATATACATATATACGCAAAAATTTCTCGAGATTATCTTACCAGCACCCTGTGAAAGTATCGGCGAAGTGGAAGAGGACAATGATTGAAATCCTCCATTTAATAGACTATTGGCAGCCAAAGGACCCAAATTTGGGGCATCTACAATGGCTGGTGAAGGTCCACGTCCCAATACTAATCCACCGCCACCATTAATGGTGGTATTTCCAAGATCTGCAGCAAAACAATAAATATACAGTAAGCAGAAATATAATAATACATGTTTCGTGAATCTTTTAGTATATACTAATAATTCTTCACTACATCAATATTTCAGGTAAATAATATGTATTTATATATTTTTTTTTATTATAAAATTATTTTCTTTCAAATTAAATTTTAAAATAAAATAGAGGTAATGCCAAATCCGATTTTAATTTTACCTTTCAAAAGTTGTTCTGTATCTTATGAATTCTATCAAAACTTGGCCCTTAAAAATTTGCAACTTAGTTTAATTTATTTGTCAAGTTAAAATTTTCTAAAGAATACAATCCGAGTTTGCATTACCTCCCGTTGGAATACATTTTAAAGACGTATTTTAAAATGCCATTTAAGACGAAATAGCATAATTATGTTGCGCAAAAGAGATTTTTAATTTTAATGATAGCAAGTGTGTAACATACAAAAATAATTGAAACAATAAAAATAAAATAAAACATTATATAGCACCTATAATACAAATTTTTTATATTGTATGTAAAATATCTCTCAATATAGTTCTTAAGGTACCTGTGAATTTGTGGGAAAATCGGGAAATGTATGGAATTAGGTCTGGAAGAAATAAAAGAAGGAAGGACATTGGTATTACTAGAGAAAATTCATAAATCTTTAATGTTATATTTCTTACCTTGATTACCAAGAGTATTTCCTAATTTTGCAAGAGCTTGTAGATTATTAATGGCATGGCTTGTAGAACTTAGATCTCCAGCAAATAAATCTGCCAAAGTAAAGGACGGAGTTGGACTAGGATTCGAGCTAGGTCCAACTACACCAGTATCGCCTACCATCTCTACTTTCTCTGCTAAACTGGCCAGCTGTTGTAGATTATATTCTTGAATGCTAGTGAATCCATGAATAGGAACCGAACCTGGTGGAAGAGGTACAGGTGGTGGAGGAGGTGGGATATTTTGAGGACTTGAAGTCGGTGGAATAATGAATGAAGGTTCACCTTCAAAAGAGGATTGCATAGATGTGGGAAGTGAAATGGGAGAACTTGTGCTGATAGAACTTGGACAACCCATTGAAGTGGTATGAACTATTTGCTGATTTGTAGAGACACCCGATACTGTTGAGATTGGTTCAGGACGAGGTTTCACTTCTAGTGTACTTTCAGTATGAAATTTTCCAAACACTTCCTGTAATAATTTTTCACAATGGTTGTTATATATAACTGGATAAAAGAATCTATTCCGGATAATTAAATAAAATGTATTATATTATGCACATATTTACCTTTACAGTTTTCTCAAATTGATTATAGTCGGTTTGAAATTCAATAGAGAATGTTACATTATGTTTTGGTGTATTTTTTATTAAGTTCATCAACTGTGCTCCTACAATACGCCGAAGTGCTAAGATTTCCACTGCATCGCCATGTTCTAACAATCTTGAGGTAAAATGACAAGCGTCTTCTATTTTTTCTGCAGTCTTTTCAACACTGCAACAAAATTTCAAACATAACAGAATGTTCGTAGAAAGAAAGATTTCTCTATCGACAGGACAGTTCTATTCTCGACAAATGTTATTGCTAAAAATTTTGTTCTATTTATGCTTTCTAATAAAAGTATCTTTTATCTTAACCTCTAGTTTTTAATAATAATGATAAACAGTTAATAATAATAACCATTTAAAATAACTACAATTAAATATATATACCTATGAAAAGCATCCATAATTTCAAGTTCTCTGTTTGAATGCAATTTTTCGAGTTCACTTAAAGCATTGTCTTTACATTTCTCTAGTATGGCCTTGTAACTTTGAAAAGTTTCCATAATTAAATCTTTTGCTTGATCGTGTTGTACTTGCAGCTCACTAAGTGCATTTTCCAGTTGTACTGTAACCTGATCACATTCAGTAATTTTTGTTTTGCTTTCAGTCATCAGGTTAATTATTTCTTCTTTTTGTCGTGGTTCTGCATCTGTCAGTCGTTCATATTGATGCTCTGGTGCTTTGTGTTCCACAAGCAAACACTCATTGCAAATAGGTTCCTGACATCATACAATTTAATACTTCTTACTTACAATTTAAAGACATAATAAGATTAATATAATTACTATAGCCGTACAATATGAATATACACAAAAATAAACACAAAAATATTTTTTCATACATAAAAAATACATTTTAAACATTTTTTTTTGCAATATGAATTTTTTCGTCTCTTTTTAAAAATGATAACTACTTTCTTTATCTTTCAACACAAAAATAATTACATATATGAATCATTTATAAATGTTAACTGACATTAACTCCTTTTTATACATTTATGAAAGAAAATACATTCTTCAAACAATACATCAAGAGCATCAAATATTATTTACAATTTTATACATTTTAAAATTGTGGAAAATTATATTCGTAATTTAAATTACAATGCATTAATAATATTACTTTGAGCATTTATAGATGTTGCAATGGTAAGATCAGTTTTTGATTTCTTAGTACATGTTAAATGCCAAATGACAATTATAATAATACCTAAATATAAAAAGACTTGTCCATTTTCCACTTACCTGGCATGTATGACAGTAAAACTTCATATTCTCAGCAGGATGACATTCGCAAAAGATTGGCTTGTGTATTGGGATAGCTTCGTTGGATTGCTTCAAATCTTCAAAGGCAACTACTTTATGATGCTCGAAGCAGCGCATGAATTGATGCGCCGTGTTGCAATTTGGGCACAGGAAATTGGCGCAATCCGAGCAACGTGCCACGGCGCTCTCTTTGGCCTTGCAGGAGGTACATAGTACTGCCATGTTCTCGATAGCGGACATATCCAATATATTGGTGAGAACATAGTCACATGTGAGCGACGCGGCGCCCTTAGAACTAACGGAAGTCTCTTGATGGCATACAGGGCAGCTTATAACGGAGCCCACCTTGGAATCCCCAGCTTCGTCCATGAGCAGCTTGTCCAGGCATGCTTCACAAAACACGTGCAGGCAGGAGAGTACTCTAGGGGAGCACAGCTTGCTCATACACAGGGCACAGCCCTGATTATTAGCCTCTCCGTTGCCACACGCCATCTCCTCCAGGGCATCACCGGGGTTTCCGCTGTTGTTGTAGCCACCAACGGAGTTGACGTTACTCCGTTCGCCAAATATATCGCCGCCGTCGATCTCCTCGGTGCCAGTCGCGACGACGATGCCACCGTTGCTACTGCTGTCACTGCTGCTGCTACCACCACCACCACCGCTGCTGCCGCCGCCACCGCTGCCACTGCCGTTCGTCACCGTCGGCACCGAGGCAGCTCCCGATGGAACAGCCACCGTGGACGATGCCATCCTGCGATGCCGTTCGCGCGCAATTCACAAGGCGGATGGGAGGAGGGGGGGGTTGCAGTCGAGAAGGAGGAAGATGTCCTCCGATTGTACTTCTATCTCTCACGCTTGTGGACCCGTCGGATTGTCACGGGGAAAGGGAGTTGGAGGAGGGGGAGAAAAAGAGAGAGAGAGAGGGAGAGAGTTGGAAAATTTTCGTTTCCCGCTCGCTTCCTTGATTACCCTGCTTCTACTTCTTCTTCCTCTTCTTACCTCCGCGTCCAGTAAAGAATGAGGGAGATGGCGAAGGCTCTCGGATTCTCTCACGAAGCGCGCGATGCTCGAAACATTGTACTGTCGACACGCTCGCACGCGCGAGAAACAAAACACGAGACCAAGCTCGCCCAGGCTGGCTTTAGCTGGCTTGACTGGGCTTGACTGGGAGCACGACTGGGCCGCGCACCAGGAAACGCACGCGGGACCGTGTATATGAGTGCGCGCGCGCGCTTTCGCGTTAGAAGAAAAAAGAAAAGGAAAATCCCTCGCTCTCGCTCCTTCTCGCGAGCCTCGATCCGTACGAGCGTCGCACGCGCGCGCGCGCGCGCCAATTGCGTTCGTATGTGTATGCGCGCGCGACTAACGGTTGTCGCGTCGATATATATATAGGTGTGTGTATAATATATATATATATATATATATATATATAATATATATATCACGCAATTTCTTATCTCGATAACGCTCCTCGGCCACGGGAATATCACGAGATCGTACAGCTGTCAGCTTACCGGAGATCGCGCGATTTACGAGCGTTTATTTACATTCACGTCACTGGCCACACGCAGCGCCGTCGTCCTCGTCCCTCGTCGTCGCGTGTCGTCGCGTGTCGCAGAGCACTGAAACTGGGGGAGACTCGGGCGCCCAACGCTGCAGATCGCGTATCTATAGAACACTCGTAGACATTACTTCAGTCAGTGACGTTCCGAGGTGCGTGCGCGTTCGCGCGGGATCTTTCTCCTTACGTTCGGCGACGGCTGTAACTCGGTCCCGTTATCGACGCCTCGGTCGCCGAATATTTCGCAGTTCTTCATACGTGGAACAAACGAATAAATCATTCGAACCGAGAAGAGCTCATCCCCTCGATACGGGAGCCATCGACCGTTCGACGTCGAGATGGGAAACTCGCGCGGACGTCGCGATTCGCGACGCGGCGACCAATCGGCGCCTTCCTCCTTCGGAGAAACGCGAGCTGATTGGTAGCCTCACCGAATCTATTTGACGTACGCGTTCGCGACTCGCGACTGTCGACGAATTGAAATCAGCCGAAATTACTGCAGGTCGAGGCGCCATATTTAAATATAAAATAAAAGAGCAAAAAAAGCATGTTATGAAGACGTCTCTCTCTCTCTCTCTCCCTCCCTCGTATCATCTCTTTTTTGTTTTTTTCTTTTCCCTCTTGGAAGACCACCACGATTAAATCTCTGATAAAATCTCGCGGGTGCTCGATACCAAGATAGATTTTATCTTTAGCGAGGAAACATTTTTACCTTTATCGTATACTCGCTACGTAGGTTAATTTTTACCTTAACCCTCTTTCACTTTAACCTTTAATCTTGATAAAAATACACTGAGTGCATTGAATGGAAGTATTTTTATCAAAATTGTCAAGGTGAGAAGGTTAAAGTAAACGTTCCACCGCTATGTATTACATGCCGTCTCAAAGCTATGTATTACATATCATGTATTATCAAAGAAACATCGTTAGATCAATGCTCTATAAAAAGATCGAGTGGAGGACGTAAGCTCCTTTTCTCGTTCGCGGTAAATGTCAAATCGCGAGCGGCCATTTTCCTTTCGGATCGTTGATCGCCTCGCGTTCCATGCGCATACACGTATACACACACACACACACGCACATAATGTTGTGTGCGAGTACTTTATGGCGTCACACAGCTGACGTGTATGTATTACACACACACACGCACATAATGTTGTGTGCGAGTACTTTATGGCGTCACACAGCTGACGTGTATACGTGCACACCACCGCGTGAGGTGGAATGATATGCAAGGAGCACATTAAGACGGGATCACAGTGATCACACCACCGCACGGCACGCAGGTCGCAGGGCGGCTCTCAGAGGCGAGTTGAATCTCAGTACGAACCTACGAACGACGTTCTCGCATAACCTCGGCGTCGTCATCGGCGATCAATCTGCCCCGAATGCTCCACGGAGTCGCGAGCCACTGCTGAACGCCTGAACCTGGCGAGTCGCCTTCCCAATTCCCTGAAAGGTGAGTACCGTATTTGTCCAGCATGTATGTGATTTGACTCGCTCGAGACCTCCCTTGAGGACGCGTCCAACAGACCCTTCTCTGCTCACATTCGAGAAGAAGTTTGATGCAGACGAAAGAAAGTAGCGCGAAGGAGAAGAGAACACATGTGACGACCAGGTAGAATGTGAAAGGCATCAAGATGGAATCATTTGGATTTGTGATTTCATCTAGCATGCTGAGTACTAACTTGGAAAACCGATGATTTTGTTTATTTTTATGTTAAAGGCCAGAATTCTAATATATAATCGAAAAGTAGAAGCATTTGCATTATGCTGCTTGCTGTAACAACTTTATTTCCCTTATTCGCACCTGAGAATTAATACTCTTCAGTGGTTAATCGAATGATACATATTTAATAATTAGATAATATAACTGTGTTATTTTGTATATAAATAGAATTTGTATTTGTTTACAGATGTCGTTGACGTTTCAGCAGATTATATTGGATGCCAAGAAATTGGTCATTCGAATTTCAGACCATGAGAATACTGCAGATACTTTGATAAGCGAGGTAGAGGCTGTGTGTGGACAAATTGATAACATGAAGCAGGTAGATATTAAATATTATATATTTTATAAATATGCATATATTACAATATATATCTTTATATATTGTTACTGTATTTTGCTATATATTTATAATTATTTTTACATTTTCAGTATCAAGAGGAAGTAGAAATTTTAAATACAGAAGCAAAGCAAAGACCTCACTTGCAACTGATTGCTGGAATACAAAGGGAAAACAAACATTTGCGAGAAATACAGGCAGAGAATAAGGAGTTGAGAAATGCATTGGAAGATCACCAGCATGCGCTTGAGCTCATAATGTCCAAATATCGACAACAAACTGCCTCTTTATTGCGTCTCAACAAAACTGATTATTCATCGATGCATAATTCGAAATATGCTAATGTAAGTAAAAAGATTTTTGCTCTTAAATAATAAACTTTGTAATTTTCTATCTAAAATTTTTACCATTTTTAATAAAATAGATTTTCTTATTAATCTAACAGAAAATTAGTAAAAAGAAATATAACGTTTATGTGTATTTTATTAATAATGTATATTTTGTTAATTTACAGATAATAACCAGTCAAGCGGAGAAAATTAATGAAATGGCAGCCGTAATGAAAACAGCTGCCGCCTTAGATGAAGAGAATGAATTGAAAGAGAAGGAGGCGTTTCATTCTTTAAAAGAGGAGAACGCCACTCTTCGAGAAATAGTAAATATTGCAAATAAATACGGTTCCTTAAACAAAGAATGTTCTGTAGAAAGCAAAACCGTTCAAACGGATCCGCCAATAGATTAAAGAAATATTTGCTCCTAGCACTTTCGATCCTTTTTATAAAAAGTTGACCAGTATTTATTTCACACGTAAACTCATGACATTATATTACTAGATAGAATCTATTACATATAAGTAAAAAGTGTATGTGCAAGAGTTGTAATATACATATGCGAATTAAATATTTGTAAAATAAATTGTATTGTAAGCCGTTTGCAACATATATTTATTTTGTAATTTGTGTCATTTATTATCCTAGTTATTTATTTACGAAGTTATGATTGTATACGCATTCCCGTATAAAACATTTTTTTAGAAAAGAATAGTATTAATCATGTAGCTGGAACATTTTCTTTTTTTATCTGAAATATATTTTTTTAAAAGCATATGTTTTAAAAGAAATTTTTTATCCTTTATACTTTATAGTGCATATTATAAACGCTAAATATTGTTTAATATACTTGTAGGTTTACCAGGGTTGTCACAGACCTGAAAAAATTTTACCATTTTTACTGGAAAAACCAGGAAAAGTCAGGGAAATTGGTGATGGAAAACCAGGAAAAGTCAAGAGAAGATGTAAAAAAGTCTGGAATTTTGAAATTCGCTCACAATTTCTTTAAATTGCTCCTATTCTAGATAATTGTTATAATTTTTTAATATTGTATCTGACGTTAAATTTAGAGTGAAATACATTTAAAACTCGCACACTTTAGACGATTTTAATAAAATAATTAAAATTTATATTTTATTCAGTATTTTCATTTGATCGCCCTTTTTCATAACTGCATTCTTTTTTCCAATACTAATTTATTTCTTTTTTTTTTGCTTGAATTTGCACCCAAAATTTTAGTGTGCTACTAACTTTTTTTGCGTTGTTTTTAATAATATATTCTAGCTTTCCTACAATTCTTGACTTTAAACGTGTTAAAATTTACATATTTTATATTGGAAAATTTTCTATTTTCATCTGGAAAACCTAGGAAAGTCAGAGAATTTTAAAATTTATTTTCTGTGACAACTCTGATTTACTGAAAGAATAGCTTTGGAATAAGGTAATTTTTTCGTAATTTTTACAATAGACTAATTTGTTCGATAGACTAATTTCCCAGATACTTTGAAAAAATTTTGGAAATTATTTTTTATGCAAAATAATTTTACGTTCCTGGTTATTTGTTGCATAGCTTTATTTTTCAAATACTGCGGCTTGACCAATACAATCAGTTTAGTAGGTACTATTCAGCAATTTTTCTCAGAAGTTTTTTTGTAATTTATTATTTTGGTACATTCTCTTCTTTCGGAAAGACTTATTTTATTTCCCTTGGAAGCGAAACATTCGTTTTTTAGCATTGTCCTTCGAATCAAGAAATTTCTCAGCAAGGACCTTTGTTTCGCAAAAATGCCTTTAAAAAAGGGTAAAAAAAGAGTTGTGTAAAAAAGGGTAAAAACACGAAAAGTCGTAAGATTTATGATAACTGTCTTTGTCCTAATCTGTGAAACATGCTAAAACCTACAAAAGATTTTTAACCCTTTCGTCCCAATGCGTATATACGCATACCATGTTTGTTTCTTATCTGTGATACAAGTATATATAGGTATCAAATAAAAATCTTAATGGTACATATACATATATGGTAGAAGGGAGGAGAGTGGAATAATGGTACATATACATATGTACCACTATTCCACTCTCCTCCCTTCCATTCCCACCAACTAATTCTACTATTTCTTTTACTACAAATTATCAATTTGACATTAAAAAACAGCAGATCTGTATATTTTCGATTTAGTAAAAATATTTATATGCAGAGAAAGGGTTAAATATTAATACAGAGAATATTAAACAAGAACTCTTTTATAACGACTCCATAAAAATGATCAGTATTATATATATATGTAGAATTTAGGGCCACATGAAATATGTAATGTCATTATTCCTAATAGTAAGCTTTTATTTTTGCCCCTTTAATTTCTTTATTTATGATGCCAAACTTATAAATCTATATTATTTTCTCAATATACAAACATAAATTTCGAATAAATCAGCAATAAATAATAAGAAATACATTCATATGAATATATAAAAAAAAAATCTGTCCTTCTCGTATACTCTGCCATAATTCTTATTTTATACTTTAGCTCTTTTATGACGCCTCTTCGAATATTTGCGATCTAATCTTGGGAACAATCTCTTGTTTTTCCGGAATTTATGAGGTAGACTATAGATAGTGTCAAAGGTTAAAATTATATTCAATCCTTTTTTACCATGCTTTTTTTCGTACTTGAGAAAAAGGACATTTACTGCAGATTTTCACATATTTATTCATTTCGTATCCCTTTATATACGTAACTTTTTTTTGTGAAATCGCTTGCAGAAAAGAAACATTTTCGCTCTTTGATCGCAACAATACAAGTATACCTAACAGGCGTGCTTATTCGCTATGCCTATTTTTTTTCATTGTGCAAATATTACGTGTCATCTTGTCGACATGCATTCTGATTTTATGACGCAAGGTTCTTGAACGATCGTCCCTATCCTTTTTTTATCTCTTTCCTTTTTGAGGAGTATTTCCTAAATTTGCGAAGAAACCAGGAGTAACGATCTTCAGAAAGACGAAATTACCGTACGGAAATTATAGAATATTGCGATTTTCTGAAAACAAGTGCAAGAAAGAAGATACATAAATATATTTAAAAAAAACACGAAAGATATAGATATACATTTTTCTGAATACAATATCTTAGGGAGTTGTTATAAAAAAAAATGCATAACTATGGCATTACTTTACGCTTTAATAACTTTTCAGCGTTTGTTCTCAATACGATGTTCCAATTCTGTGTGTGGGTGAAGAAATTTTTCCAAATTCCTTTAAAGGAAATGCATTGTTCTGTAATACATATTTGCTCAGCATAAATAAAATTTTATTTGAGTATCCAGATAGCAACTACTGTCCTGTGGAATTATTCGGAATGTATTATCTGATCGGAATTATTCCGTTGTTTCCTTAGAAAACACTCTAGGGAATAATTGAATAATTCCGATCAAAGGGGGAGGGGAATCCATTCCGAATAAATTCCATAATAACGATCACATACCTTGTGAAATGCCTTCAAGAAACCCACAAGAGTTAACAAAAAATTAAAATGCTTTTACTTTGATTCTTAATATAATAAACAGTCAAGCGAAAGTTAAAATGATTTTATTTTGACGTCATAAAAGTCAAAATGATAATTTCTGATTACAAAATTTGATTGTTTATCGTCGTTAAGAATCAAAACAAGTTATTTAAATTTTTATTGACTTTTGTGTGTTTCTTGGACAGCGAATGTGAACGTCAAAGCGTATCTACACATTACAACGGTTCGTGCGTACTATTGTTCCGCAATTATGAAGAAAACTGATGTCATCGGGTGTATTAATGGTGCATTCATCTCGAGAGCTCTCGTTCTTTGCGAGCAATCGTGACGGTAAAATTACGCGATTAATTCCACACAGTTAATCGTGAATTGCGATTAATTACGTAAAGACGCGCTTCTCGTGCACGTCGCTTGAAGGAAACCATCGCGCCGGCTGCAACCCGTGCATCCTGTGCACCATTAACGCACCCGTCTGTACACTCTAAGGGCGCATGCATGCTGCATACGGACTACGAAGGGACGTGATGCTTCGATGCCAACTCGATCCAGGGAGCGGGGTATACTCGCTATAGCGTGAAAACTTTGAACCGGCTCCGGATTGCAGTTAACTATACGGGGTGTTCTACTTCCATTCCCGCCCAAGGAACACACGAAAGTCAACCAAAAATCAATACGACTTTACTTTGATTCTTAACGTTAATAAACAGTCAGGAGAAATTTTGTAATAAGAAATTATCATTTTTTGATTTTCATAATGTCAAAGTAAAGACTTTTTTATTTTCCAAGCAACACGTACGAAGTGTTCAAAATCGAGACATAACACATTTGACGTTTAAAAACGTCTTGAAACTTTTTTTAGATCTTAAGTTTAGAATTAAATTTGTATTGTCTGAGTTGTTATTGGACCTTGAGATGTAAATATATCTATACGTATGAATATTGATAGGATTCTTAATATTCAAAATAGGAAAGAAGGAAAATGTAAATAAGAGCGCGGTCTGATATATCATTGCCAATTAAGAATATGCGAGGCGCTTATTCGTTTTTTACTTTACTTAATTTAAGTTTTTTACTTAATATAATTATATTTACTTTGCTATTGTAAACATTTGCGCACGAAGTACCGCGCTCGATTCCTATTTGCCCTTTTCCTTTATTTAAATTTATGAAGGAATGCAAACTATACGCCTCAACAGATAAACTTGTTAAATTCCCAAGGAGAACAAGAAAGTAAAATCATCACGTATTAAATGAATCATAAAAAAATACATAAATTGGTCAATATATTGATATCAAAGTAATACTATATCGATTTTTTTGTTCTCGTTGCATTATGGAAAGTTCTACGGATCACTTTTGAATTAAAGGCTCAAATACATTCCGAAAATTTCATTGTTTTGAGCGATACATCATAAGCATTATATCAATGTAAAAAAATTATCTTATTATAATTATTAAAAAAAATTTCATGTATGATTCATCGAATAGTATTTGCAACGAGTCCGTGAAATCTGTAAAAAAAGCGGCTCTATTTTGAAATCCTGACTATTTGCTTATATGAAAGTCTACAAGAGTCACATATTTTATCTGCAACTGTGATGGGTTCCATTACAGTTGCAGACAAAATATGTGATTCTTGAAACAGCAAAATTCCTTTAGACAGATTTTTTTTATAGTCAAAGGGTTACAATCCTTTATCCAGTCCTTTTCAATCCGTTTTAGCTTTCCTTCTTTTTTAGTTGGAAAATTGTGAATAAAAGCGCCGTTTCGGAAATTGCTTTTTTCACGGAACGTACGTCAGAGCGGCTATATCTTGTAAAAAAAAAAAAAAAATTAAATTGCAAGTATTGTAAAAATACGAAGAATCGAGTGGGAAAAACGGCGGTTTCGTTCAATCCCGTTTCTCTCTTTCGGTTGCGGCTGAGAGAGATCGGACACCCAGTATAACCGGTGCACACGCTCACGTCCGACACGCATATTCACACGCACTTGGGGAAAGTGACTTACACGAGAACAGGATAGCAATGGTGCTGTACAATTCACGCATCTAGGCGGCTTGTTCTCTTTCGGGGTCCTC